AAAAAAAAAAAAAAAAAAAAAACACATCATAGTAAAATTAATACCTTCTCAGCAATACCTTATCAGTAATACCTTCGCATCGAAGCTAAAATCGATTGATCATTCTGAAAACAAAATTAACTCCTATTTCTATCATTATTCCTAATTAGTAGTAGATTTATAGGTATAATTTATGAATAAATATCTATTAAAGAAATTCAACGTAGTATGAAATTGAATTTAAAAATTTAGTATTGTAATTTTTTTGGAGAATTTATAAAAAATTATAAAGTACTTAATTATAAGTAAATTATAAGTACTACTTATATGGCAAACGTGTATGAAAATTGAAAGGTTTGACACAGAACATTTTAGATAATAATTTGTTGTTAATTATTGTTAGGGGCTTGTTTAATAGTTGAGGATCTTGGTCAAAACCAAGAATCGGAAGCTACCCGACGTCTGCTCAAATATCGTCCCTATCTCCTTAAATGAGTTTTAATTGCCTGAAGGAGACACAGGCAATCGTGTACCTTAGTTACAGGGGATAGATTATTAAATAAAATTAGACTATTGTTTTATGTCAACGACAAAGTAAGGTTATATTTAGATGTTCAGTAAATATAAGTTATATGTAATGTACAATACGTCTGACCTGAATCCTAGTACAGTTGGTTAGTAGGTATATCCAAGTGAGACGGAGTTGGTTGGCTATGATGACAATTGGCGATAGACGGGTCGTTGAATAAAACAAGTAAAGTTATAAATAATATAAATAAGACGAAAGTAATAATATTGAAAATTATGTCTATAACGGCCACTCAAACACAACTGCCCTTTGTTAGTTCGACGTCAGTAGCTCCGGGCTACAGACGAGTAGAATTGTCATATCAGCATCCCCCTCTATGCTAATTAATATGTATTACGAATTAAATAAATAGAAATAAAACGTGTGTAATATAAGTGGTAAGAACATGGTAATAAATGTTCTTACATTATGAATAAATGGTCTGCAAAAAAATTTCGTTAGAGTCAAAAATATACTTTTTATTATTAAATTTTTAGTGCTAATTTCAAATCAGCATTTATATGTTTTCCATCACCAATAATTTTTGATATAATTACTTATTAGATAAAAACTATAAGAAAAATAGTTCTGAATATTTAAACACCAAAAGTTACATAGAAATTATTAATATTTCTTTTGAAATTATTTACGATAAAAAAATAATTAAAAACACAAAAAAAATATTTATAAATAATTACAGATTTTAATTTTTAATATTTTAAAAATATTCAATTGAAAATATTATTTTTAACCTATTTTTTTGGTATTTTAAAGTTGATTTTTTGAAAGTTTATAATAAAAAAAAGATCAACTTCAACTTCTATTTCCTTAATTATACCCAGATTAGTAATTCTTTTAATTATATAATATATAATTTTTAAAATTAATTGTTTTCAAATTATTATTGATTTTGATTTTTAATATGTTAAAAGTAATAATTTTGAACCTACTTTTAATTGTCGTTTAAAGTGAAAGTTTTATTAAAAAAAAAAATGAATTTGTTACCATAACAAGTAGCTCAATTTGCAAGTTTGAAATTGACATTATTAAATAGATAAAAATGAAATTGTTAAGATTAATATGCTGTCAGCAAATTTTATAATTACTATTTACAGTATATTTATCAGAGAAGTTAGATTTTTATCGTAATAGATCACTTAAATAAAAATCATAGTAATCATTTCTAATTAACTTTTGGTGTTTAAAAAGATTCTATAATGGAAATATTCAGAATTTAATTAATTTTAATGATTATATATCTAAAAAAACCAATAAAAAAAAAGTTATTCAATTTAGCCTATTATAAAAATAATAATTATAAAAAAATTGGGCAGTGTATTGCCCTTATAAGATATTTTAAAATAAAATAAAATACAAAACCCAGGATTTTAACACAAAAATAGCATATTTTTGAATTCGATAGCCATTTGCGCATAGAAGATAGGTCGTCGGGACAAATTTTTTATTTTATTTTATAGTACATGACATAAGTATTAATTTGACATATGTTTAAAAGACGCAGTATTTCCGAAACATTTTCAAAAATTAAGTAGAAAAACTTATTTTTTCTAAAAAAGTTACTATGTTAAATCTCTCCAGTGAGCAGAATAAGTGTTAGATTTTCAAAAAAAATTATATCAAATGAAAGGGAAATATCTAAGGTTTCAATACAAAAAAATATTATTTTGATTTGTTAATATTAGAAAAAGTTATGGCAGTTTTAAGTACAAAAAACATCCCGATAGAAGATGATTTTTATCATTTAAATTTGTAATATTTTTGGAATTTTACTCCATTTATGGGGATCGAGCGAATTTTTTAAAAATTTTGAGGGTAATGTCTTCGACTAGATAAGATATTTTGATATTTTGACGTATCGTTAAAAGAAATCAGTTCAGTGAGAACTGAGAAAAAGTGGTTACAAAAACTAAAACGCACATAGTAAAATTAATACCTTAGCTTCGTATTGAATCTAAAAAACGGGATTATATGACTTTCCCGTTTATGTGTTTTCATCTAATATTTGTCTTACTGTATAGCAAAAAATCAATTCTATAGGTACAGAGTATAAAAATGGTCAGACACAAGAAAAAAGTAAGATATTAATACATCATAACAATAATATTATTTGAAATTTCCAAAAGTTCATGAGATGAACGATCTTATTAATCACTGAATATGTCAATTTGAAACCAAATATTTGAATGAATTTAAAATAATTAAAAACAAAAATGAAAAGTCAACTATTATGTATTATATTTTAATTAATAATAAAACATGATAAAAAAATGCATATAAAAATAACAGTAATTCTTTGTATATATTATCACAATATTTGTTAAAAAAAAATAGTATAATAATATTTTAATAAAACTTTGAATAAAAAATAATTAATAATAAATTATTTATAATTAAGATCAGTTGATTAATATTTAGTTCATATAAAAATTCAAGCTATTAATAACAAATGTGCTAAAATTTAATTTAAAAGTTTTAACAAATTAGGTAAAACTAAAATCGTTTAGTTTTTTTCACCTTAGCTCATATTATGTAATAAATTATAAAACATGCATTAATTCTAAAAAAATAAAATTAATATACTCCAAATTTTGGCATAAGTAAATCTTATTATAAGCTACCATCATTTGCATACATGTTTATTAAAAACAATTTCTAATGAAAATTATTATTGTAATCAAAACTATTTTATGGTTATGTATTAATCTTAATTTTAATAATTTTTTTTAATTAAAATCATCTAAAAGAGATGTTTTAGATGAGTTTAGAGATTTCACGTCTGGATTATAATCCTTCATTAATTCACACATTCTTTCGGTTAACCACTAAAATTATTAAACAAATCATGTTTATAAAAATAATACTTCAACATATGTTTATATATATTTGTAAATAAACAATATATAATACATACAATACAAATTTCAGGGTTTGTAACCGTAATCAATTTAGTTTTTGATTCCCTTTTTTTGAAACACCACCAAAAACACTTATTGGAATTACTATCTTTTGCATGTATAAGTATTCCACGTGGTTTTATTTTTGGGGAACTTATCATTGCTGGCCAAACATACTCCCATTGAATCTAATTAAATTATGTTTGTAATTTCAAAAAAATAGTTATATTTATTTTATGACCAATACTTTGTATGAACCAGTCCAGTAGCTTCGAACAATATACATAATTCTTTGAGATGTTAATACAAATATTTCTTTATTAGAGACTCCCATTCTTAAATGGTAAATGTAGTTGTCTGTTAATTTATAATTTCCTTCTTCAACTGTCTGTAACATTGAATCGAGTAACATCAAACACATAAGTATTATGTGACCTTACCAAAAGATTAACGATTCACAACAACCCAGATATAATCTTATTTTGATATGTTTATTTATAATTAAGGACTTGTTAAAGGGATCAATGGATAAAGGTGTACACCAAACAAATTTAAAAAAATTATTTATCTCTTTATGCTAGTGTAAATATTAATGTGAGTGAATATATATTTTCATACAATTTAAGATTATTTAGAATTTTCAATCCATTATTTTACTTTTAAAACTATTAGAATTTTAAAATTACATGATTTATATAAGTACTATCCTACCTAATGTAAGTGATATGAAAAAGTTTTAGAAAATCTTTTCTTTCTGAATGTTTTTAATAAAAAATAGTAAATACCTTTATTTATTGACCCCTTACTTTATTACAATGTAAATTAAAAATGTTACCTAAATATATAAAAATTTGACACTCATTTTTAGTGTACAATAAATTATTCTTTATTAACAAAAATCGAACAATTTTGGTGCTATTATAATTTACAAATGTCACACTAAATTCAATTACTAACTAAACATTAATAACAGAACGATTACAAAAGTTCAGTTTGTATAAACAAGTAAAAATCTTATCCCAGAAATATTAACAATAAATTGGATGAAAAAAAGACAAAAATGAAAATAAAATAAGTAAGTAATTAGAAATGCAGACAAATGATTTTTTTTAAATTTGTATGCATTTACAGTGTTTTTCTGGTCACAATTTACTTACTTTTGTTAAGTAAAAAGATGTTTAATACCAATTTTATATTTTTCATAAAAATTGTTTTATCACAATAAGTCACTTGTTACATATAATTAAAAACATTGGTTTTCTTCACCTTTAATAGTTTGTATCCTTCAGCTTCTCGTTTACAATAAGGTCTCACTTGTTTATCTTCTTTAAAATGCCTAGGCAAACGTACTCTTTGCACTTCTGATGTTGTATCAGTTACCCTGTAAAATTTAAAATCGTGCAGTAGAAGAATATTGAGCTAAAGTTCTGAAGATGGAAAAAATAAGACTATAGAAAAGACAATTAAACTTGAGAGTTGAATGTTACATTAAAAAATTTAACATTTTTTGTACAAACCTTTTAATAGTATTTAAAGTCCCACTGGTAAAATCTAATGCTCCAGATAAAGGTCTAGCTACAAGACCTACCATCCCTTTGCTCATTCCTTTAAAAAATCCTTTAACTCCATCACTACGAGCCCCACTTATAGGCTTTTCAAAAACACCTTCCACTCCTTCTACAACACCCTATACAAACATATTTGTTTTACTATTAATATGTATAATAAGTAGGGTAAGTAATATAAGAATGTCTATATTTTAATGTTTCAATAATTACCAAAACAAGTCCTCGGCCACCCTGTGCTAGCCCAGCAGGGAAATTTTTTGGTTGCTCATTCATAATTTCTTGGCGTTTTTTTTGATAATCTTTATCAAATGTTAGTGCTGCTATGCCTTTACCTAAAAATGTATTATATAAAAATTATATTAATCTAAGATAGAAAATAAAAGTATTAGAACTATTAAATATTAATTATACTAACCCATAGCACCTGTTATTCTACCAACTGCTCCGGCAGCACCTCCAACTGTATGACCAAACAAACTTTTAACACCTAACACTAAACCTTCTGCAAATTCTTCTGGACCCTGAATAGCACCCTAAAATAGTAAAAAACAAAATTGATTAATTTTCACAAATATATTCATTATATATTTAAGATTATTAATAAGTATTTACTTGGAAGGGCTCATAAAACAGATCTTCAACTCCTTGCTTAAAACCTGATACAAGACCAAATGGATTTCCTAATACATCTAAACCCAGAACAAGTACATATAACTGTTTAATAAGTTGACTAACATAATGATGTTGAGCTTCCATAATCAACTGACGTTGGTTTAATAAGACATACTGTCGTTCAAAAAATGCCAACCTTGAAAAAATAATATGATTTAAAGTGTAAAAATGTAAATTTTAAACTGAAATTGCTTACTTTAATACAACATCTTGAACACTAGTAATAGTTACACCAACACTTTGCAAAATAATACTAATAATTGGTGGAATATTTTCTAATTCATCTCCACTAAGGGAAAATGTGACATGAATCTAAAATAAAATTAATATAAATGGTAAATTATTGAAGTATATAATCATTTTTAATGAATACATACTTTAAGTGGGGAGAAATGGAGCATATCATAATAGTTCTTTTGTTCTTGTAAAGATAAATTAATAATTTGTGATTCCAATGGTTTACTTGCATAACATAGATCTTCATTAAAAACTTTTAACTAAATAATATAAAAATTAATGTTAAGTTTTTCAACATTTCTAATCAAAAGAAATTGTTTAAAAATTAAAAATTTAATTTAAAAAAAAATCCAACCCTTTCTTCTTCAGTAACTTCATACTTTTCAGTCATTTTAATAAGAGCATTAATGAAACCTATGTCCAATTTAATATGAAATTCCTGGATCAACATTTTATAGTATTTGTATTGTTTAACAGAACTATATTTATTCAAACGTTCTACTATACTAAGCTCCACAAACGGTTTCCGTTCTAAAAATAATTATAGTTATTAAATAATTTAAATGGTTAAGAAACTTCTTCTTTGAGAAAATTTGCAATAGCCCTTAGGGGCCACAAATGAAAAAAAAAACGTTTTTTAATATTAAATTCAATTTTAAATTAACTGACACTTACCTGTTTGCGCTATTGTTTTAGGGGGAGGAACAGGAGCAAACACAACAGGAAATATACAATCATCTAACTGACTATCAATTTGTAAATTATTTATCTTTGCATGTATTTGAGATGTATAATCTGAAGACTGCAAATTAAGCCAAAATCCAGTATTGTAAATTCTTCTAATATCTTTTTTTGATGGTTTTATAATAATATTATCTTCAAAATTAACCTTAAATAATAATTTTGTATTATAATATTAGTAATTACTACCATCAATAATCATTATATAAATTATATTTTTGCTTCAGCATACTTCAATGTTTAATTCTTTAATAGAAACAATTGGTTCATTATCACCAACAGCCAACTTTCTATTATAACGTATGTAAGCATTCTCAATTAATTCACATTCATATTGTTCCATAGGTTTATAACGTGATCCACTTAATTTTTTACTTTCCCATATTATTCCAGAACTAAAGTATACAGTAATTTATTAGGTATATAAGAAGTTTTGTAAATAATAATGACAGTAAAATATTTATTAATTTCTTATCCATTTTTACTAAAACAATGATTCAGTTTTTAATATTATAACGATCCAAGTAAATTTTTTAATTTAATTTCACTTTGTAAATGGTTTAAATTATAATAAAACTACATACCAAGTTATCATAAACTTTATAAATATATTATAATTCCAATGTTAATTTACTAATAAAAATATAGAAGGAAATTTTTTTATTAACTTATTTAAAATAAAAAATCATTCATATTCAGCACAATATCATTGAAAACTCATTAAAATAGTAAATAAAAAATTTATTTAATATTGATAATGTATACCTTCCAATTCTTAAGTACATTATTTCAGTGCTTATGTCATTATTCACCAATGACAAGCCTAAAGAATGAATTGAAACTAATATTTCTTGATTAATGAATTCCAATTTACTTGAAGCTTGACAATCTTCAGCAATAAGAGCATCAACAGTGAACATAAGGATTCGTTGTAAACCATCCAAAAATGACACCCAATATATTTTAATACCATTATCAAGACTGAACACTCCAACACCATCCTGGAAAAAAATTATTTATATAGATGTTTAATGCTTAGAAAAAATGTGGTAAACTAATATTTTATTAATTGTGTTAAAAAAAAATTAATTCAAGTATTCTAAAATCATTTTTTGGGTAAATGGTTAAATCAATAAAAAATGTTTTATATTAAAAACACTCAAATTGTCATCTAATATTATTTTATAAAATATTTTACAGATTTATATGACTTTGGACAATATAATTCATATCTATGTATTATATGTATTATGTTACAATATACTAAAATTATCTCAGGATATATTCTAAGTAAAGCTTCGATTATAGTTATTCATTACAATATAATCATAATTAATACATTTTAATTAACATTTAAATCTATAGATGTACTAATATTTATAAGAAAAAATATTATTCGATCAACAAACATAAAATTTAAAAATAACTTTTTAAACAGTTATAAGTATTATCATTAAAAATGTTTTATAACAATGAAGCTGAATGAATTTAATTATACCAAAAACCAGACAATTTTTTCATCATTATAGATTAATAAATAAGATACTTGGTTAATTGCTAGAAGAATAAAAAAAAAATATATTTATGAGTAGTTGGCTAGTTATATTAACACATTATGGATATTGAAAAAATTTAAAATTCTATATATCAGTAATAAGAAGTTTTTAATATAACTTCATTCAGTTAATTTTTCATGTAACTTTAAAACTGATAAATTATTGGTTTTATTCCTATTATTAACTGATATTTTATTTTTATACTGCATAACTGTATTTAACAACTCTTAATATAAAAAAGGTAATTTGTAATAAATAAATAAATATTTACTTTTCTTAAATCCGCTTGACACTGCATCATATTCCAAAAAATAATAGGATTATCAGTGGGAGTTGACCACGTAAAAAACATTTTATGTTTAGGAGGTAATATTTTTCTAAAAAAAAAAAAAAGATTTATTCATTATTAACAAATATATACATTTAGTTGTTTTTTTATTTTTATTTAAAGCCTAAAAAGGGAAATATCTAAGGTATTAATAAAAAAATTGTTTTAAATTATTTATTTTTCAAAAAGTATGATAGTTGTGAATTTCCCCCATTTACAGAGAAGGAGGGAAATTTTTTTCAATTTTTGAGAGGCATGTCTTCTAATAGGTACGATTTGTGAATCCAACCTGTGAGCAGGTGGTAAAGGGTCAAATTTTCAAAAAAATTATATCAAATAAAAGAGAAACAGCTGAGGTACTTGTATATAAAAAAAAAAACGATTTTGATTTGTTAATTTTTCAAAAAATTATAGCAGTTTAAAGTAAAAGAAACATTACAAGAAATGCAATATTACACAAATACTACATTTATTGTTCAATTTCAATAAATTTTTTTTTTTTTTGTAACTATTAGTACGTAACTTAAGCTTTAATTTAACATATGTTTAAATCTCAGAATATTTCCAAAAAATTTTCAACCTCTTCATACAGAAACTCAGCACAGTGGGGACGTGGCATAGTTGGGTCAAGTATAATGATATCTGACAATAATCAAAATCATTATCATAAAAAAACGCTTCATGGCAAATCTGTAGATTCTTTAATTCTAAGAAATTGGTGGATAATTACAAAAGCAAAGTGAACTCTTATTTTCTTATTTAAAACATGATTACAAGTTTTATTATTTATAAGTGTAATATATGAATAAATATATAAAGGGAAGTTGTTATATTTAAAACACAAGTATGTTGAATGAAAGAGGTATATAAATAGTATTTATCATAAAAAAATTATATTGACTTATATATTTTTCAAAAAGTTATAGCGTTTTAAAGTTAAAAATGTAAAAAATAAAATCAAGAATTTTAACAAAAAATACCATAAGGTAGCCATTTTTTACTGTGAAGACAAAATAAAGTTTTTTTTTTCCATAATTAAGTATATTAAATTAGCTTTACTTTAAGGTATATATAAAAGTGACAGTATTTTCAAAAGTTATCATTTTGAATTCCTTTGTATTGACAGATAAAGGGTCAGATTTATAAAAAAAAATGTACAAATCATAGGCAAAGATATTATGCATCTATAAAAAAAAATTGACATTTAAATCACTATTACAAAAAACGTTTTGATGCAAATCTTTAGATAATGTTTAATTTTAAAAAAATTGGTGGATTATTACAAAAGCTACATGTTCTGCTATTTCCTTATTTATATCCTGAATAAGATAAAGTATGTCTAATGAAAGAGGGATATAAATATTATTTCTTATAAAAAAATTGTATTAATCCAAACACTTTGCAATAAGTTAAAGCATTATAAAGTTAAAAATTAAAAAAAAAAATTGGGAATTTTCACATAAAAATAGCATTTGGTAACTATTGTCATCGTGAAGACAAAATATTATTTTCTCCATGATAAAATACATTACATTAGCTTTAATTTAAGATATATATAAAAGCGTCAGACTCTCCAGAACACTTTCAAAAGTTAAGTTGAAAAAGTAAATTTTTTGTGAAAAAGTTATCATTTTAAATCCCCTCCTGTGGGTAAGTAAAGGGTCCAATATATAAAAAATATACCAATTGAAAAGTAAAGACATCATGCATCTATGAAAAAAGAAATTATATTGATCCATTAATTTTTCAAAAAGATATAGTATTATAAAGTTATATTTATATTAAAAAATTATATTGATTTGGTTATTTTTAAAAAAGTTAAGTAATGTCTTCGACTAGATACAAATTGTGATATTTTGACGTATCGTTGAAAGAAATCAATTTGGTGAGAGTTGAGAAAAAGTGGTAACAGACACAAAAAAAAAAACACATCATGGTAAAACAATACCTTCTCAGCTTCGAATCGAAGCTAAAAAATGTTTATGCAAATCTATAAATAGTATTTAAATTTTATAAGTAATTATTGGATTATTCCAAAAGCAACAAACTCCTATTTCCTCAATTATATCATGATTACCAATTTAATGATCTTTAAATTTAATACATGAATAAATACATATTATAAAATTAATTTAATATGTAATATTTTGTATTTTATACTTTTTAAATGTATGTTTCAAGTTTTAAACTCTCCTATATATAAGAAAATTGACCAATTTTTTAAAAAAATATGTCGGTTGAAAGGGATTTATATAAAGTACTTATAAAAAAATTGTATTCATTCATCCTTTTTTCAAAAAGTTATAGCAATTATAAGTTGAAAATTTAAAATCAATAATTTAAACCACAAAAATTACATATTTTTTAACTATGGCATCCAATTGTACATAGAAGATAAGATATCAGGATAAGTTTTTTTTTCAACTTATAGTTTATAACATAAGCTTTAATTTAACATATGTTTGACACTCGGAGTATTTAAGGAACATTTTCAAAAATTAAGTTGAAAGATAAACTTTTCATTAAGTTGCTACATTGAATCCCTCTTTAAACAGGTTAAGGGTCAGATTATCGAAAAAATTACACCAAATAAAAGGGAAATACCTAAGGTAGTTATAAAAAAAAATTGTTTTAAAAGCTAATACAGGTTCTAGAATTACCAAATGTTCGTCCATTGAATCAAAAAAAAATTTTTTTTTATAACTTTGTTTTGACAAATTTGATTACAATTAGATAAGAACAAGACAATTACAATTTTTGTAATGTAATAAAAATACAAATTTTTGCAATTGGACAACTCAATTTATCTTCAAATTTAATTTTATTGAACCAATATTTTAATTTTAAATAACTTACATTTCATCCAAATATTCTGATAGATCATGTTCAATAAATTTAAGATAATTACTAGTGTGATTAATTATAAGAGCAGGTGCTATTCCTTCTACATATGGATTTAGTGTTATGTATGCACCACTTTCTGTTATATGTGTATCAACTTGTATAGCACTAAACTAAAAAAAAAATACAATAAAAATTATTTATACAATTAAAAAAAACAGTAATAAATAAAAAAAAAATTAAGTTAATTGTGAAAATATTTTTTTTTTACTTATAGGTCAAGAGATTTATAAGGACAACAAGCAGTATTTTCTTGGTATGATAACAATATACAATTTGAAAAAATAAATAAATGGTTGTTATACATAAATGAAAAAATAAGATACTTTACTTTATTTCTAAGTCGTATTAAATCACATCGTGACTTGTAAAATGGCAATGGTGTAGATGTATCAAGTGTACCTGTAACTCGAACAACAAATACTTTATCTGCTAACTTATGATTGTCAGTAATATTTTGGGGCCAAAATGGAGTGCAGTTGTTTGAACCTATCTATTAATTAAAATTTATGTATCATACATTTTCAAAATATAATCTTATAAAATTTTACAATATATAACTTACTTCTATCCAATTTTTAGCAACTTTGTCAGCTTCTTGAACATCAATAGAAAATGGACATTGATTATAAATAATATAAAAAGGAGTAAGTATTACTTGTTTTGATAATGAATTATTAGTCAGTTGAATATTAACTCCAATCTATATTTAAAATAATACATCATTTATTTTTTTTTAATTATTTTTTTTGTTTTAAAAGCTATACTTGATATAGAGTTTCATTTGTTTTACACAAAATTGATCCAGAGCTACCAGCGACATCTAAAGAAAATCTATCAGACCATAAACCAGAATCTATTTTAACATACGCTCTTTTGTTAGCATAAAACATTTTTTTACTAAATGACCACATTAGTGGTTCTGAAGGATCAGATATATGACGTAATGTGTTATTATCATCATCAGCAGCCTATATACAAACACATACACAAATATTTAGAATGTAATAAATTTATATTCCAATACAGTCAATTTTACAAATTTTAAACAATTTAACCCACCTTGTAAGTAAGAATTTGCTCAGTTTTGTTTACCATCCAAAAAGGACAATAAAGTGTTTTGATATGAGTACCACCTTCATGGAATTCTGTACGTACACCAAAATTAATTACATTAGCATTTGTTTCAGTTTTTTCTTCGCTATTTTTAAATGACCAAATAGAAAATTCATCTGGGTGTTCTTCCACCATACATTTGCAATCCCAATATTTATTTAAATATTTTATCTGTCATAGATAACAATCATTTTTAATTATGTAACATAAAATTTCCTAACAAGAAATTTATTTAACTTATTAATAAAATATGATTAAGGAATTTATTAAACAAAAAAATAAAAATAAATTAAATGACATATTAGTTATCAACATATAAATTTATGCAAGTTATGTATTATTTTTTTCAAACTTATTAAATTAATTTTTACAAAAAGATTTTTTTATTACAACTCAACTTTTTTTTTTACTCCTTTATGTTACATGTTGTTCTTGAATTATTTTATATTTTTAACTATAATGGATCATTTTTGAGCTGCTTTATATAAAAAAATTAATTTCCTGCAATCATTACTTAAACTTATAAGTTTAGTATAAGATAATATATTTAAAATAATGTAATATAATATAATTTATTGAAAATTGACATGAGTTTATAAACTAATATCACATAAAATAAAAAAAAAAATTGATTTGCCATTTGAAAATTTACATAAATTTATAAGTAAAATTAATGATAGAAAAAAATTTATTTTTTGTATAAAGCAGCTTAAAAATAATCCATTATTGTAAAAATATAAAATAATTTAAGAATATCATGTAAAATAAAGGAATAAAAATAAAAATAAATAATTATTTTGTTTTATAAGTAATTGAGTTAGTTATAATAAAAAAAATCATTCTGTAAAAATTAATTTAACAAACTTGAAAAATAAAATAAATAGCTTGCCTTATTAAATTATATATTAATACCTAAATTTTCTATTGTGATTTACTTTATTTGAAAGTTGACATAAGTTTAAAAATCATCTATTTTTTAAAAGAGTAAGTTTAGATAAAAACAATTTTATAAAAAGTTATACTGATGCGACAACATTTTTTAGATATAATAGATTATTATTTATTACCATATTTGACCATTGTACTTCTAGTAGTCAGTTTTGTGTTATTATATATTACTTATTGATTATAAAAATTATTTGACAATATATTCTAGTTCACCATTTGGTTTTATTTTTAATTTTAAAATGCTACTTATATGTATTTAATTAGTATTTCATATTTAACATTAATTCACTTATAAATTTAAATTCATCATTAAAATTGATATTAATACAAAATTATAAAGTAAAATTATTATGCTTACTCTGCAAAAAATTTACTTACCCTATCCCGCTCCCTTAGAGAAAATATTTTGAGATAAACAAATTTAATAATAATGACTATTTTATTATGACTATTATGATAATTCTATCAGTTTATTGTTGTTAAATAAAAATTTGTTAGAATTTAGAATTTGAAATTTTATACAAATATTTACGTAGTAAATTAAATACACTGTAAAAGCAAATTTACTTGTAATGTTAAACATGAATATCCAATCTCAACTATTGGTAGATTCATTTTTTCTCCTGGAGTCAATGTTTTAATTTCAGAATCGCCTTGCATTAAACAATCTAAATTTACTGGCAAAGCATTTACTAATATGACAGTGGGATACAACTGAATATTATAACAATAACTGGACATTAAATAACGATCAGTATGTTCAAAATAAATATGTTCCATGCTTCCTAAAACCTGCATAATCAAAATTCAATTATAAATGAAATTTTTTTTTTTTAATCAATATTTTTGATTATAAATTTGAAGTATATATTAAAATGAAATACATAGACAATAATTAGTTAATCAGAAATTATAAACTTCTGAGGTTTTAATAAAACAAATTTATATAGATATATTACAAAGACATAATTAAATACTAGGTAAATAAGACTACAAAAGTATGGATGTAGTAATATTTTCTATAAGCAATGTTCACAAGAAATCTCAACAAATAGTGTAATCATATAATCAAGTAAAGTTGCCTTTTAATACACAATACTACTTTTGTCAAACTTAGATTAAGGGATATTCAGGGAACCATGGCCTATGAAACTTATAGTTTAAGAGCCTCAAAAATTTCATTAAATCATAAGATAAAATATATATTATTAATGACGTCAATGGTATTGGACTTCAAACTTCTTGAATTTATTTAAGGAAGTTGACAATAGAAAATACTAATACGCCTATAATTTTAGTTATAGTAACCTGATTTTGATAAGATTTAAGAAAATGTTACTCTATACGACAGTACTACAAACATTATTAGTAAAAGTTTCTATATACTGAAACTACTAGTAATCTTATTTTTTGGATATTATTTGTAGCAGAATGAAAATGGAATCAAAAAAATTATTTATAAATTTAAAGAAATTATGGGCATTTTTCATTATTATATTATATTTTTTCATTTATATTAAACATCTTTCTTAATAACTTATTGTTTGTGAAATAGAGAGGACATATACAGAGCATAATAAAATCAAACTCCTGCATCTATACATTGAGGAATATTTTAATCTCATAATCTTTATTATGTATAAAAATTTATTTAATTATATTAAAAATTTTATTACTTGTATAAAAAAAGGATCTTTATCTTCTACTTGATTTGGTGGACACTGTAATAAAGCTCGCAAGTTAATCACAGGTTGAATGTCTTTCCAAATAAATGGCTTAATACATATTTGATATCTAAAAACAAAATTGAAAATTTATATAACAAAATTATTACTGATCATATTTTTTAATAAAATGTATGTTATGATTAATATCATGTAAAAATAAATAATTTTTCTATAATATTAATAAATATGTTTAATTCAGAATAAATAAAATGTATTAACATATTTTTAAAATATTAAAAGGTAATTAATCATAACAATAATCTTATATTTCAGAAAGAATGTTTTTTAAGTATAATTACTTATTATGTAAATTATTATTTTTCCATAAAACCTGAAGTTTACATATTCATTTATAACTGAGATTCAAAATAAAATAACAGTATACTAATAAAAATTTGATAGCTAAAAAGCAAGTTAAGCTCTATTTTGTTCATTTTAAGTGATTATATAAAAAATATCTGTTAGTTTATAAATATTACCATAATTGATCATATTATTTTTTATTTAATTTTATGATAATGTTGTTTATTAGAAAAAAAAAAGTAATTTTCAAAATTTTTTAGTATACTCAAAATAAGATAATTAAAAAAAATACATTGATTTTTAAACTTAATTTTTACAATTATACAAAATATCCTTATATTTAAAACACATTAAGGTACATTTATTTCCATGATATTATTGGAGAAATGTAATTAAATCAGACGAGAAGTTTATATCAATGATAATAAGATCAGAGTTTGACTTAAAAACAGAAAAAATAATTCTACATTCATAAACAAATAAAGTATTAAAAATATTTCAGATATTAAACACACATAAAAACAAATTTTGATATACTTCATCTTTTGATGAAAAGTATTATAACGAAAATTTGGTTTCAATCGGAATTAAACTACTTAGAAGATTGATAAACATACAAAGTGTAATGAGAGAATAAATTTTATTTTTGATCACCTAAAAAGTAAGGAAAAGTGAGTTACTGCCTTATTTGTTGCCAATATTGATATATATATATTTTCATTTTCAAAAATATATTTGTTATATGAAAAGCCTAACAATCAATAAATATAATTTTTTTTTCTTATTGAGTAAAATATTATATAATAAGAAATGTTTTATATTAGTGCTCTGACTAAAATTATGTATAAGACTTAATAACTTACTTTTCTGAACAAAAGAATAATTCTTTTGTTTGTGTATAAATTGCTTGTACTGGCAAGTTATATGGTTTTCCTGGTTTTGCTTTTCCTATCATTTTTAATTTACCTTGTTTTTTATAATAAAGAAAAATGTTTTCGTTAAAATGATTATGAATCTAAAAAATTGAATTGAATTATTTATTATACAAAACTTTTTTATTCTTTTTATTACTTGTACGATACTCCTTAATGTGACAACCATGCTTCCATTTACAACTTGGGTGTCAGTTACTAATCCCCACGGTTCTTGTACAGAATGTAAATTATGTTTCATATTAAAATATCTCTTATCAGCTTTTATTAATGGTACACATAATTCTGTAGTATTACTGTTCTCCAGTATCTTTCATTTAATATTAAGAAAATAATTAGTTACTTTTAAACATTTAATGAACTCTTATATTTTAGTTATAATAAATTCATTATTTCAATTAAAATATGCGTATTAACTAAATTAATTTTATGAGTTTATTTGTAAAACATTATTTAAGAATAAACTGTTAATTTAATTTAAAAAAATATATAAGGTGTTTAGTAAGTAAGAAAACAGGTTTATATTGTTCTCATTGTTTGTAACAATTTACCTATTTCCTTACTTACTGAACACTTTATATATTATTAATGTGTTTATTAGAGATAAATATTTTACAATGAAAATGTTTGAGAGATGATTAAGATCATTTTTTTTAAATAATTTAATAATAAATGTTCATGAAGATTTAAAATAAAAAGTAGTTATAATAATTAGATGAATATATAGATTATTGAAAACAACATGTGTATACGGCAATTATATTTCATTTCTTGGTATACAATAAATGATATAAATAGGTAATAGGTAACATTTTTGTTATTCAGTTTACTTATTTTAGAGTAGTCAATGCTATGAAATGATAATGAATTTATATTTTTACGTTTAAAAAAGGTATAAATAATTCATTGTTAACAAAACACTTAGTAATTAATATTTACTATATTATAACACTTAATGATATTAAATTATCATAATAAATACTTAAATTTAAAAGCATAATAATCTATCAAGAAATATTTTAAAAAAAATTTGGCTCTGAGGGGGGGTTTGAATATAAATCTCTCCTTTCATATGTATGTAACTGTATATAATCATCATATTATGATTTTTAATTAGTAAAATTTAAAATATATATTAAGATCTTTCTAAAATATATATTAATTTCCTAAATTTTTGAAGTTATTTCATTTTTAAGGTTACTTGAAGTCCCTAACACTAGTCCCTAAGTTCGTAATTAGTATATATGTAAAATTTTTTAAACCTTAATTTTTAAAGATCTTTCAACAGGTTTGTTTTGACGTAAATGAACTGAAACTGGCTCATCTTCCTTCAGACAAATATTGAGATTCTCTCTATCTCTAAGAATTATATCATTAATCGTTTCATTATTCTCATTATTACACAACTGTAAAATCAATTTATATTTAAAAATTTCAAATAAAAAATAGTCCAGTTTTTTATTAAATTCAAAAATAACAATTCTAAAAGAAATACATAAAATCTCAACAAATTTAATTTTCCAATGTTATGAACTACAAATAGAAAAAAAAATTGTATTTATTAAATGTTTAATAAAATATATAAATATTATTTTATTATTACTTTGAAGGGAGTATTTGAAATTAATACGGTAATATCAAACCCTAGATTATTTTGTACAACATATGGAGCAGCTTCAATTTGTTTTGAAAGTGGTGTCTCAGCTGTTATTGCTTCATTAAATGCTTTTCCTAAACTTGTTAAAACTTCTAAGGCGGTTTTAGTCATGGTCATTTCAATTGTTTCCTTAATAAATAATATTTTAATTAATATTTGTTTTAAAAATTCATTCTATTTGAGTTTATACATAAGAAATTAATGATATTTTCATTGCTGGTTTCCTTTGAAATATTTCATCTTGATCTTGAGGTACTTTATTAGGATCGTGTGTTTCTAGCTATTAATTTAATTTTTAATTAGTATTTAATTTTTTTAGTATCAATATCTTATTAGAATTCTAAATGTATAATTAAACAAAAATGTTAAATTTTAAGTGTATAATACAAATTTTTCAAAAATAAAAAATTCATGTACCAATATTTTTATGTACAATAAACAAATCTCCCAATAAAATTGAAATTTTGTTGTGTAAAACAATACACAAAACACTATTTTAATGCATACAATTAATAATATAAAAATCCCATTTTTGACATATCTACCTTTAGAAAACATCCATAAATATACAGTGGTTTATTAATTATGAACCACTTAATTAATCAAAGAAATCAAAATAATATATATATATATATATTTTTTTTTTTTTTGTTCAATGTTTCTCTCAATTTTTCAACATAGTTTTTAGCTTCGATGCGAAGCTGAGAAGGTATTGGTTTTACTAAGATGTGTTTTTTTTTTTTTTTTTTTTTTTTTTTT